TTTAACTTTCTTGCATCTTTCCTTCTTCTTCTTTCATTCTCATTGAGAGCTCCTTCGACATCGATAGCCTCAAGATGTGGTAGCGTGGTGTTGCTTGCTGTCGACGAGCTTAGCTCGCTGCTGTCCATGTCAACATCCACCCGCTTCACGCTACTAGTTCCTCCTCCGGGCTCCATACCTCACGCGGTGAAGCGTATATGAGGTAACCCCGCTCTGATAGCACTTGTAGGATCTCTAGTAGGCCAAAAGGGGGGTGAATAGGCCTATCAAAACAAACACTCAAACTTTTATCAAATTCACCCAATAGCACTACCGCTCTGGAGGGTGGCACTACCGAACTACGATAGTGTCGGGCCAGAACAGCGGCACTGCCGAACCTGCCGACAACTTCGAATCACAGTTCAAAATCCATGAAAAAAAACTTAGATCAGAGAAAATTTCTAGCTTACTGTAGGTATGACAATCACTGATCAAAGAGTTAGAAGTGGTAAGAACACCACACACAAGTAGATCCTAGAAACCCTAGAAATTGCCTCAACCACAATATGTCATGCAAGTAATGTAAATCAAGCATAAGTGACACAATAATTTATCCCATGGTTCGGCTTGCCACCAAGGCTTGCCTACCTCCACGTTGTTGAGGTTAGCCACTAAGGCTTAGGGCTTTCCAACCCTTCCTCATTCTCAAATCAAGAGGCTTAATTCTTGAGATGAGGGGTGAGTTTACTAACTTCAAGAGATGGTTACAAACCTCCCAGGGCTGCCACACAAGTTGGCAAGCTCCACGAGCGATGCTATAGCCAGCTAGGAGCCAAGCTCCAAGAGTAACAAACACAACCGCCCGCTAAAATATGAATCAAGTGCTCTTTAGAGTTTGGGAATCAATGGAGCTGCTCTCTAATCGAGTTTTGGACCCTTTTCCCTCAAGGATTGATGGGGAAATCAATGAATTTGCTTGGGGGCTTGAGGTCAACAATGGACGGAGAGAGAGAGAGCTCCTGCTCTGTTTTGGGCGTGCTAAAGTAAGGAAGAAGAGGTAGATGGAGGCAGAGAGCCATTGGGGAGAAAAGGGAAAGGTATATATATACCCGCTAGCCCCCAATGGTCACTGCACCCAAGGGGTCGGGCGAGACAGAGCTCGCGGCCTCGAGGTTGGGCGAGACGGAGCCCGTGACCAAGGGGTCGAGTGAGACGAAGCCCATGACCAAGGGGTCAGGTGAGACGGAGCCCGCACCCAGGGTGTCGGGTGAGACGGAGCTCGCGACCAAGGGGTCGGGTGAGACGGAGCCCGTGACCTTGGGGTCGAGCGAGACCTTTTAATACGTCTCGAGCCATCCAAGGAAGTCAGCGTGGGCGCTAACTTCCTTGTGCCACGATTCAAGTGTGGCAGTGCCTCTCTTCAAGTGCGGCAGTGCCCTCCACGCAATATAGCAAGGGTAATAGTGAAGTGTAGACTGTCTTGGCTATGAATCTGAGGATGCATGTGGTTGTTTGAGCACTTGGTAGCATATATTAGCTTAAGCATTGTGTCCCCCTTTATAGTACGGCTTTTCCTATACTCAAATTCAATATATAAAGAAATTTAAACCTCCTTTAAGTTTAAAGCCATCTATATTTGTAATTGGGGGCTCCTCCGTTTCGTATAGCATCCTCGAATATAAATTCCCTGCTTATCATCTTGATAAATCTAATTAGTTCTCTAATTGCGTGGTCATTATTACCAAAACCCACAATTAGGGCTTGATTGCACTTTCAATCACGGACGGATCATAAGCCATACGGCGGTGTTAGTGCATACCCACACGGCGCAAGTCATGCTCCAATGCGACGGAAGTAAAGACCTTATCACTAAAGGATGATAAGCCAATACGGTTGTGTAATGTGCACCCCAGTCGGTCTCAGATACCGACGGTGATGGCTATGACTATCACTGTCAACAGTTTACTATCGAGGCGGAAATTGGACTACGATGGGGGTTACTGACGTGGCTATGAAAGGTCCGTGTGTAGTAGTGTACCAACATATAGTAGTATACTGGTATATCATTCTAGTCGTGGCATAAACACATGCACTCATTATATAACTAATCACAATGCTATCGCATTAATACGTTCGCAAGTTAGCGTACCTGTCAAGGATAGTTTGCCCAAAAGTTAGTATACTTAGCCACTCCTAGTACTTAACCATATTTTAGGGCTTATAGACACTTAATTACACGCATCCTATAAATTTTTCAAAGCCTTTTGCTGGTCAAATTTTAGTTTAGAAAAGGTCTAAAAGCTTTAAACACTTATTATAGCTCTAGTGCCAACTGTGTATAAATGTAATAATTTCTAAAATTGGTTAGAAAAATCTACACAGGGGATGGAGGCACATGCCTCCAAGGGCAATAACTCTGTTGTGCTAGATCTTGTTGGCTCAGCATGGGGTGCCCTCACTGTCCTCACTGCTTGTGACCTATCCTTATGCACTATTCGGTCCTCTACCGCCGTGTAAGTGCATCTAGCAATAGTGAGTTTGATGAATTAAATGACAACACAATTAAGGGGATCGTTCTTATGAATGTCATAGACAACCTCCCAATTCTCTACATGTTGCTCCAACATGTGAGGAGATAAACCCGAGAAAAGAAAACCACGAATGATCCAACATTAGTTCGAAACCAGCAAGCGTGTAGCGAGTGAGTGGAATCCTTGGGCTCCAAAACAAGCGAATTCAAACCCAACCTATTGTCTTCTTGACCAAAAGTCAAGCTTAAAAATTGCTTCCTCTCAAAAAGGATACGAGCCAATGAACCTTCTTTACAACCGGAAAAAGAGAGAAAACAATACGCCCCTCCCTAAGATGGATAGAGATGGTCTTCCTCTAGACCAATGATGAAAAATGTTATGGGTCAAAATGTTTGATTGCTTGGGACCGCATTTTCTTGCCAAAAGTTGTTTGGAGGGCTTGGTGTCTCTACATTCTTAAGGATCAAAATCATCATCTTGAAATTTATGATTAAAAATTTGTGATTATAAATCATTGTCTCTTTTTCATTTATTATATATAATATTATTTAGGATTATAAACTTGTGATTATTGGAATAAGGCGCTGTGTGAAATAATTTGTTCTAAAAGAGTTGTGACGTAGAAAATGACAATCAACATCTAAATCTTACATCCGAATTGAAGACAAGAGATTTGAGTTCAATGTTCAACATATACAGATGCTTCTTCCTTGCAAATGATGATAACAAGGCTTTAGTGACAGTGCCGGCCCTAGGGGTAGAGCACGAGTGCGATGGCCGAGGGTCCAAGCAGAGGAGGGGCCCAAGCCTAGGTATACAAACCCCTAGGTCTTATAATCCATTAGGTATTAGCAAACTAATAAGAAGAGAGACACATAACTGATTAGGCGGCCTAAAAAGATAACATTGGTATTTCTTTCCTAATTTTCTTTCCCCACTGCCCTCGGGTAGAGAGGAGGCGAGGAGTCACGCTGCACACAGCACACTCTGATCGTGAGTTCGCGACGTGCGCCTTACACACGCGGAGCTGGCGAGCCGCGCCGCCGCGAAGAGCTAGACTATCGGAGACACGGACATGGCGCACGAGGACGGCGACCAGACAGGGCTCCACAACAACGACATCTTGATTATTGGTTTCTTACGAATTGCGATCACAGATCAGTTGTTTAGGCCCAAAGTATTTTTTTTCTTCTTATTTTTAATCCAAATTAATTATTTCTATAGTATTTCAGACTTATAGTACTTTTTACCCATATAGTCATATTTTTCTTCTGATTTAGGTGTAAGAATTTTAGAATGTTACCTAAGAAACATTTGTCATATGCGAGAAAAGAAAACGAATATATTGCTTTTTTAATCTACATTGTTCCTCGATAATTATCATATATCTACAAATATATTGTTTAATCTACATTGTTCCTCGATAATTATCAAACATGTTAAATTAAAAATATATTATTGAATTTGCTTTCGTTTTGCAAGTAAAATTAGTGTCTATATATTATAAAATTTTATACATGGTCAAGAGGGGCCATTGCGACAAGATCGTCAGAGGGGCCTAAAAATCCTAGAACCGGCACTGTTTAGTGATAGAGGAAATAATTCCAGCATCCCTGCATCGGTGGTGGAAAATGATGCGTAGTCGCTCATCGGTTTTCTGCAAAAGTCGCCTGGTTCCTAGGCTGCTAGTTTGTCTCGGCTATAGCAAATTCTTATGCTAGGCCAAACACGAGCCGCAAAATTTGCTTTCCCAAAACCTACCGGCGCAGGCCAAGACAAAGCTTGCCACACATCCAAACATGTGGGTTCCTCCACATCCCCACGCGCCCCCATCAAAATTCATTTCCCTCCCGCGCGACCACCAGAATTTCGCTGTTTGTTTAGGAGAAGTTATGGACCCAAGCAAGGCGTCGAAGTTCTGTAGCAGCCTGTTTTGTTTGTTCATATACGATCGTGGATTATAAGTTAGAATAGTATTTTTCTTTCACACCAAACCAACCATCAGTAAATATTCTACGATCGTTTACGGCCTGTCGAACACGCTGTAGAATTACATCGCGTACCTGTTTATTGCAGTAGCCGGATCAGTTGCCTGTGGTTCATGTAGGGGTAGGGCAACGCCGGCGCGGGGCGTGGCTGGGCGGGCGTGGGGACGACGACCCCAACCGCCCCACCCCGCGGTATCCGCCTTCGCCGACGAGGTCCCCACGATCGACTCACGAGTCACGAGTCACGACCGGCGCGCGGTATGCGTACGGGCCTTGTTGATCAAAGCCAGAAGCAGGCCTTACTGCCACCGCCATTGTGTTTTATACAGGAGGGCCCATGTACCACGCTGGAAAGCACGGCGTTCGGGCCTCCTCAGCCCAGTAGCGCGCGCTTCCCGTCTTCGTGCAGCCCTTTGGGTCCCCGCGTCCTGCAGATTTCCTTTCCACCACCGGTCCAGCGCCAGCACCAGTCGGCTGAGCGGATCTCCGGCGAGGTTGAGGGATGGCGAACGGCGGCGGCTACGGGTGGGCCCTCGCGGCGGGCTTCAACGCCGCGCTTGCCGCCATCTCCGCCAAGTTCTTCTCCACTCTGGTACCGCGCCACCAGCCTACCCCTTCCTCCCTCTCTACCGCTCGCCCTCCCTGTACGATCCGAGATTCCTTTTTGGTCTCGGCTTCGGAGCTTCGGCCTAGTCAATGAGCTTGGATGATGATTTTTCGGGGTCATCGACTAGTTTCCTAAATCCGGAAGTTTGTGTCGGAGGATTTGACCGTAGGTTTGAGCCTCTTTGTTTATACTGAACACAAATGGGAGCACCGGTAGAAATTACGCACATACATCATAACGTGTTTGAAAAGGGAAATCAATCGGTTTTTATGATTCGCTAGAGTATTAGCTTAAGTTTGTGACGAATAGCTCACTAATTTATATTTATCCAATGGTCCTGTCCCTGCTTTATAGTGCAGATGAGGTAGAACCATTTTCTAAGCTAGAAGTGGTGCAAGCAACGCAGATATAATCATATATCTTTACAAAGAAACCGAAAAAAGGGAATGTCTGCTTCAAAAGAAAGGGGGTTCCTCCTATGGGCCAATAACCAGCACATTATCAACTTAATCTGGAGTTCAAATCTCAAGCCTTTGTTGCTAAAGTTTGTCTTGGACAAGAGATGAAAAATGCCATCTATCCGGAAAATGGGAAAACAAGCATGCACTCCTTTATCAAGGGAAACTCAAAAATAACTCTTCTTATAATATGCCAATGCTTTCTGTTCCCTGATTCATGGCACCGACTTTCTGTTCCCTGATTCATGACACTGACACAGGATACTCTGTCACTTTGATCGGATCTAATGCAGTTGCTGAAATATGGCATGGTGATACTTTTCAATGTGACAATGTGGGGGTGCTATGTCAACAGCCTCAAAGCTTTGTCATCCCTCCAGGCAACAGTGACAAACTTCGCCGCCAACTTCATCTCGTCTGGGCTTGCAGGGTATTTCCTGTTTGAAGAGCCCCTGCCTTCTAAGGTAACATAACACGGGAATTCTTGGTTTTTAAAGTGAACATAATCGGACTTTATTTGTTCTATATATGATCTCTCTCTAACTTTCTAATTCCCCCTTTGATTGAAATTCCAAGCAACCTATAGATGAGGTAAATACAAGGATTTACAGAGCCCACCCCCCCCCCCTCAGCAGGGGTTGTAGAATTAATCGGACTCCATCAAGTGAGGCTGCATTTTCAACTTGTTTGGGTGGTTTCTGCCGTGTGTATTTTGCATCTCGATGCCTCTCAACTCATGTGGATTGGAGTGCAGTCAAAAAGTCATAAGTCTTTTCTTCCAGTTAGTCGAAGAAAGCATTCCATTATTGCTTATGCGATGAGTCTCATGATAAAAAGGATTTTCAATTTAGTGTCCTCTTCTGACAGTGGTATATTGAGATTTAACAGTATTTTTTAGCAATAATAACACACTGGAACAGCTAATTGCTAGACGACAAAAATGATCCAGCACACTAGCTTGCTTCAGAGAGGTGAATCATTGGTCATGTGCATTTGATATACACCATGATACTTTATGATCTGTATCTGAAATACTACATGGTCTATGTCATTAAGCCTTGCCATAATCGACTATTGCAAGATTTAACGTGATTTCAGTTATTTGTTAATTCTTACAGATGTTTGCTTATTTTCTTTTCTTTAGTTGGCATAATTGTTTAGAGACTACTTTCTAATTCTCTGAACACAGCTCCCTTTTTTTTTACATGAGACACGTTTATGCAGTGGTTTGCAGGTGCCAGTCTTATCATTCTTGGCGTCTTTATCCTCAGCAAGTCAAGCATCGAGGATAAACAGAACTCAGATTAGGAGGAAGTTTGACCACTAGGGTTAGCTGTAACATAAGCTGAGCCTGCTTATATATTTCTTTTATTTTTCCCAATCCGACTGACTTTGTCATTCGGCTAATACAATGTACCAATTATGTTCTGCAAGCTGTCACTTCAGCTTATTATTTGTTCAGTAGTACAGCTCCTCTCCCAACTAGGACATTTGACATTCTCCATGGTGCTGGTACATTGAGAATTATCGCTGTAATTGTATGTATGTGGTGAATTGATTTTATTTTTATTTCATGGTGAGACAAATCAAGCTGTGACCAGACACTCATGGCTAGTGCCTGGTCGGTTCTTTCACGCTTACGTTATCTGCCGCATGAGGAGAGCATATCAAATGGGCTTTCGACAGGTCGGCTTTTTTTTAGAGGATTTCGACAGGTCGGCTCGAAGCCTAGAACCGAGCCAGTGCGCAATGACGTTAAAAGACTCTTTACCCGTTGGAGAAAATCTTTTGAGGAGCTTTCACTGCCCGATCTTCACTTTACGAAAGGTAGTGTAGATTACAATGGAGGAGTAATGTACTATCTGCATGTGATTCCAAGTGTTGTAGGACCGTGGCCACTAGGCTGCAATTTTATTGGGAGCAGTGGAGTTGCGGTAGGGACCGTGGCCACTAGGCCTGGGCGTTTGGTTTTATCGAACCGATCGGTTCTTTGGTTTTTTTAAGAAGTTCGGTTCTCAGAAAACTCGGTACCGATTAGTTCCTCAAAAAACTCGGTACTGACCAAGTTTGGTTTCGGTTAGTTCGGTTCGGTTCTCGGTTCCAACCGAACTAACCGACCAATTATTGAACAGATTACAGTAGAAAAATTCAGCAGCATTTTAGCTGTTTTCAAGACATAAATGATATGGCAACATATGCAAATCAATAAGTCACAATCAAATAACCACAACCAACACATCAGCACATTCACAAATCACAAGTTCACAACCCAATTACTGATCTCTTGGTCAATGTCCTCCTCAAGCTGAGACATCTGAAAAAAGTTCGGTTCTTCGGTTATTTCGGTTAACCGAGGGGAGGAACCGATTTAACCGAACAAAGTTCGGTTCCTAAGAACTGAGAACCGAACAGGTAACCGAAATTTCGATTCTCGGTTAGTTCGATTCGGTTATCGGTTAGTTCAGTTCGGTTCTCGGTAAAATTTGCCCAGGAACAGTGCCAGTAGACTCCAATTTTAACTACTGCTACAACGAGCGGCGGAGAATGCTGTGTGTGCCCTGTTCGCTTCGCTCAAAAACCAGACTGAGAAAAATATTGTACCATGGCTGATAAGTTCAAGCGAACAGGGAAGCTCGCGTCGTCAGGTAGATCACAGTTTGCTCTGATCCGTCAGCTCGAGAGCAGCCAGTGAGCAACACCATAATTGCCAGAGGGAAGCTTGGTTTATGACTAAGCTGCCTATAACGAAAATGGACCTTAGGTCTATTTACTTTGAATTTTGGTGTTTGATGATTAACACAATTAAATTGGATTAATGAATTTGTAAGTGATTGTTTTGTAGTTTAATATGTGCAAGACGTGACTTGGACAAAGGCGACATAGTGATCCCACGATTAACACCATAAAACAAGACCCTAGAAGCACAAGAAAATACCCAAGATATCAAGTAAAGTCCAAGCACGAAGATAGGAACCAAGCCGGACGCAAGATCGCGAAGAAACGAGCTCACAGAGGTGACCGGACGCAGCCCTTATAGGGACCGGACGCGTCCGATCAGTTGCTCGACAACAGTAGGCGTCAGCAGCAGCGACCGGACGCTGAGGACTGAAAGTGACCGGACGCACCGATGGCACTGTTCATCATCACAGCAACACATTCAGCACTGACCGGACGCTGGCGGCAAATCGACCGGACGCAGGAACTGCAGCGTCCAATCGAGTACGGAGAGGTTCTAAAGCGGCGAAATTGCAACCAGACGCGTCCGGTGGCATGTGACCGGACGCCATCAGCGTCCGATCAGTTGATCGCGCGCTCTAACGGTCGGGACAATCGGACGCGTCCGGTCAGTGGCAGAAAAGCGGGTTTCGTCCCCAACGGCTACTTTCTCAGTGGGGCGTATAAATAGACCCCTCAACCAGCCATTTGACATGAGTGGAACTGAGAAAACATATCTAGGGTGTTCCTACACCATTTTAGTGATTTCCACTTGTATAGTGCTTAGTGTTTCATTAGGTGATTAGCGTAGGTGCTTTGCGAAGTGCTTAGGTTGATTAGACCACCGCTTATGTGCTTGCTCTAGGTTTAGGCCTAGTGTTTAGTGATGTTTGCATACCTCTTACCATTCGGTGCTTGCGTGCACCATAGTTGTATATCGGAGGGGCTTGTAGTCTTGCTAGATCACACCAACCGCGTTTGTGGTGTGGCCGCCACCGTGTCCCGGAGGGAACAAGGCCCGCGGCGTTTCGACCGGAAGCTTGATAGTGAAGACGGCGGGGAGCAGTCCAGGAGAGGCTTGCCGGAAAGCACACCGGAGACCCACTTGCCCGTGGGGAAGGACTGGGGCTATCCAGAGTTACCCGACCGGAAGCTTGGCCTTTGCGAGGGACTCCAACGAGGACTAGGGGGAAGCTTGCGCGCTTCTCGATACCTCGGTAAAAATACCGAGTCGTCGACGGGAGTTTGCATATATCTACCTTGCTCTTTAGCTATGCATTTACATTGTTTGCATTACTCCTTTTGCGGTAGAGATAACAATACACTAGCAACTGAAGTTACATATTTAGATAGTTTATGTTTTATATAGATTTTGCTAAGGATAGAAAAAAAAAACATAGTTTAGAGTCGATATTTTAAGTTTCTGATTCATCCTCACTTCCTACACGTCACGGTCCCCTACACTGCCATCAATCGGCGTACCGATCAATTAGGCGGCAGCGACGTCCAGCGGTCGGTGTGGAAAAGAAAACTGCCAGAAAATTACTGGTGTGACGTGGAGAAAAAGAAGTCCAGAGAGGACTGAAGGGGGGGATCGTCTCGTCACCGTCGTCGTCATCCTCGTCCTCTCGGCTGGCTGCATGATTCGTGTTGTCAACTTGTCATGCATTCGCATCGAGTGATTTCTTACCTGAAATATTCCATATTCCCGGCTCCCGGGGCCAGCGTGCTGTTCTAGTTTCTGTTGCTGAAACCTGAAACTGCGCCGGACACGGGGCCTTGTTCAGAATGGTGGGCAGCCACTAGCCATCAGCCATAGTGCAGGAACACAGGCGTCATGCCCGTCATCTACTCCCCTCCGAGCAGGTTTTGGCGAGGGATGTGCTCCTGCCCCTGAACAGATGTAATGCAACATATCACATGTCAGGCCTTGTTTAGATCACCTCCAAATTCCTAAGTTTTTTCACTCTCTCTATTACATTAATTTTTGGACGCATGTATGAAGCATTAAATGTAGATAAAAAAAAAACTAATTACATAGTTTGTTTGTAAATCACGAGACGGATCTTTTGAGCCTAGTTAGTCTATAATCAGACAAAGTTTATCAAATACAAACGAAACCTGCTACAGTGTCCATGTTACAAAAATTTGTAATCTAAATGAGGCCTCAGCATCAGTGGTGGTTCGGCCTGAGCATTCCTAGGCAACAGACGGAGTAGACCGGCCTCAGACCACAGGCTTCGATTCTGGGCAGTTTAGTTTCCCAAAATTTTGCTAAATTTTTTGAGATTCTTCGTCACATCGAATCTTTGGACGTATGCATGAAGCATTAAATATAAATAAAAAATAAAACTAATCACACACTTTAGACGAAATCCACGAGACGAATCTTTTAAACCTAATTAGACTATGATTGGACACTAATTGCCAAATAACAACGAAAAGCGCTATAGTTGTATTTTGCAAAAAAATTTGCAACTAAACTGGGCCTCTGTGATTTTTGTCCGTCCTGACACCTGAATACTGACCCATTTTGATCCGGAGCTTGGAGCCTAGCCAGGCTGGGACGGGGACCCCTGCAGCAATGCAGTATCTGTTTTATAGTCTACTGGTTCAATAGTAGTGCCAGTCCAGCATAGCTGGTGTATGCATTGACGATAAAATGCGTGCACCCGTTAATTAATCCCAAGAAATCCAGATTCCTACTCCTGCAGAAGGAATGAAGCGGAGGACAGCCGTCACCTGACAAAACAATCCAGCGCGGACCCACCAGAAAAGGCCAGAACAACACACCACACGCTCCCTCCCAGGCACCCAGCTGCACGTGACGTGACGAGCCAGACCTTGAGCTCCGCAGTCCACACCGTGCACCGCCACCGCGTGCCGTCTCCCTCTCACCCTCACGTACACGACGCCGACGCGACAAGCGCCGTCCGTCCTCTCGGGGCAAGGCAGGGCAGGGCAGGTCGCCGGACAAGAGGATAAACAAGAGACGCCGGCGCCCGGCGGCCGCCACGGCAGAGCTCGACGCCGCCCTGCTACCTGCTGTCGGTCACACCGTTGTCCGCGGCGCCGTCAAAACGCTTTGTTATCCAGAGCAACCAAAAGGAGACCTGCCAGTTTTAAGCTGGCTGGAGCTGGACGAGCCAGGTAGGCAGGCGATCGGGGCGATTCTTTGTTATATAGAATTCTATAGGGCCAACGCCCCCGTCTTTTAAACGATCGGGGCGATTTCCGCCGGTCCTCTCCTGACGTGGAAACTGGAATAACAGCCCCGGTGCCGCGCCGCGTAAACCGAGACCCGAGCGGCCTGGCCCGGGGTTGGCGTCACCAGATAATCCCGCCCACATGATCCTCCCCCACGTACTCACACCCCCACTGTATATTCCAGCACGCGCGACTTGCTTCACGCCTTCACCACGTTCACGTAGCCTAGCC